CATTTAATCTGAAATGCATGAAACCATGAGAAGATTTTGTATGTACATACATATGTATTTATGGGTTGTAGCACCGAATTTTTTATTGGCTCAATTAGCGAAGAGTCTATGGTGTGTTGTGGTCGCTTACACTAAAATTTAGAAAATTTAAGAGTAGAACCTGATTTAGGTGGCCTACTGTTTGAAACATGGTCAGAGGGACTCCGAGAGTATTTCTATCTTAAAGTTTACATGTTTAGGGGTCATTTTCACAGTAACGAGTTACATCGAAATTTACAGTTAACTATACATTTCGGGAAGGGATATTTGGAAGCACCGGCGGAAAATTCAGCCTCCACGACGAAACGTCCGACAACGGACTGAGGCTGATCGACTTCGTCGGGGCCTGAAACATGGTAGTATGCAGTACTGGGTTCAAGCATAAAAAGATTCATCAAGCTACATGCTGTCTCCGGATCGAAAAACGAGAAACCGAATTGATCATGTTGTGATAGACGGAAGGCATGCTTCCAGTGTTTTGGATGTACGTACACTCCGAGGCTCAAACATGGACTCCGACCAATATCTTGTTGCAGCCAAGATACGCACCCGCCGCTGTGCAGCAAAAAAATTTGCGCCCAAATATGCAAGGAACGCTTAACGTCGGAAAGCTGCAATCACAACAGACAGCCAGCGCTTTCGGTTCTCGCCTCTCACACTTGCTCAGAGAGCACTCTTCAACAAACCGACATATGCGAGCAGTGGAACCACATTTCCCGCTCATTAAGTACTGCCGCCGAAGAATTAGCCGGATTTCAGCGAGCTTGTTGAGCAATACCACCAGCACCATCAGAATTGGAAAAGACCTCTCCGAGCCGTTCGCCACCAAACGGGGTTTCAGACAGGGCGACTCCCTTTCATGTGACTTCTTTAATCTGATGTTGGAGAAGATAATAAGAGTTGCAGAACTGAACCGCTCAGGAACAATTTACTAAAAGTTGGATAAGGAAGCAAAGCGGATGGGTCTGGTGGTAAACGAGGACAAAACGAAGTATCTCCTGTCAACAAACAAACAGTCACTATTGACAGTTATAATATCGAGAAAGTAGAGAATTTCGGGAACCAGCATTAACACCGATAATAATTTCAGCATAGAAATCCAACGCAGAATCACTCTTGCCAACAAGTACTACTTTGGACTGAGTAGGCAATTCAGGAGTAAAGTGGTATATGAGCCGATTAGGTGGCTCTTGGAGTATTCAATAAAAAAAATTTGCGGAAGATTTACGGTCCTTTACGCATTGGCGACGGCGACTGCCACAGACGATGGAACGATGAGCTGTATGAGCTTTACAACGACATGGACATAGTGCAGCGAATTAAAATACAGCGGCTCCGCTGGTTTGGCCATGTCGTTCGAATGGACACCGACGCTTCAGCTCTGAAAATACTCCACTCGGAACCCGCTAGTGGTAGCAAAGGAAGAGGGAGGCCCCCACTGCGTTGGAAAGACCAGGTGGAGAAGGACTTGGCTTCACTTGGCATTTCCAATTGGCGCCAGTTAGCGCAGAAAAGAAACGACTGGCGTGCTTTGTTGAAATCGGCCAAAATCGCTTAGGCGGTTAGAGCGCCAAATAAGAAGAAGAAGATACATTTTCAGTACACAAATTACCTGTGAGATAAAGTGAGTTAATTCTCCACTGTGAACACGGTTCTTAGGGATGCCACACAGTTCTTTCTCCATTAGCTAATTTATAGTGAGAAGAGTTTGCTTTAAATGATTTTAAAATTTCAATTACCAACAGGAGCCAGAGAGAGGAGATAGTACGCTTCTTTGAGGAACGCCCGGGTGTTTTTTTCGCACGAATACTGTGCATATTGCCCGTTTGATACTCGGTTTCCAAGCATGCAGTAAATGTATGCTAATAAATATAAAACGCTGGTATTAGTTGTAAGGGTGACCTGCCCATTGCCTCAGTCCAGGCATTATAGAAGAAGGCTTCTTCAACGTCCAGAAAGTCAGTCAGGGAGCAGCATTTTTTTTTTAATAAATTCTCATTCCAGCTCCTCTGATACATCAGATTCGCTTTTCAGCAATAAAAAAGCGATACTATCCTATTTCAATAGATGACTGAATAACATAAAGAGGTAATAATCAGCTGATGAATTTGTTTATGTAGCTGAATAGTTTTAGATCTCGTCCCTAAACAAACTCCTGCTTTTCGTGGCTCGGCGCAAAAATTTAAAAAAAAAGTTCCGCACGTCATGCCGCCCGTAAACCACACGTGCAACCGCTTATAATAATAAATATTATCAAGCCGAGTAATTTAGACATGTTTATTTATTTCAAATACTACGTACCTCCCATGCGCATTCTGCATGTTTATTGTGAACGCCCACAGATAAGTACAGTGGTTTTTCGTAGTTTTCTCTCAAGTTGTATACTGCCACACTGCCATCGTACATCCCTACATATAAAACAAAGCTGAACAAATTAAAAAATTTAGAAAATCGACATGCGGTCAACGCACCGATTGCCACTAAAAACGGATAAGTCGGATGTATATCGCAACACATGACACCACTCTCGGTCGATACTGCAGAATTGAAAATAATTAAAAAAAAAAAAACTTTGTAAGCGCATATAAAATGTTTAATATAAATACGACAGGTACTTATATAATCTGGATAAGATGGATTCTTGACTGTGAAAAAGCAAATGGCGCCCTCATTTGGTTGTTTCATGAACTCATCTGTGGGAAAAAAGAAAACAAAAGTTGTCTTCTGTCAATCAATTCTAATGGCCTTATTCATAAAAAATTAAATAACTTTAAAGAGCTTTGTAAAGTGACATTTACATACAAATTTGCGATATATAAAGCAGTTAAGGTCTTCTAGTTATATTTTTTGTAAATTTGATTGTTAGTATTTTCTTTTCGTCATACATACGCGAACCATAACAAACTGCAAATAGATCGTAGTACTTCGGATTGAA